CCTCTTCCACAACATCTTCGTCCCCGCTTTCCTCCTCTAAATAAAAAATGTATTTCGGATGAGACTCATCCACGACCTCCGACACAAAACTCTCCTCGTCCCACATGTTTCTGCTGTCCATAGCGTTCCTTGACAGTAAGGCCACGTTCACACTGCAGCCTGAAGTGACCCAAATCCGATTTTTTGGCCCATATGCGACCTGGATCTGATGTTTTCATGACAGTCTGAACAACACAGATCCGATTTTTTCCAATGCGACCCAGGCCGCATGGCTATGTGGTCCTGAATCCGATACGAATCTGATCTTTTCAAATGCGACCTGTGTCTGACAGCCAGGTCGCATTCATCCGATCTGAACGCCATTAATACCCGACAAAGGTCACTATTCTGCGTCCTGCTACGCAGAAGCAGCAAGAAAAACAACAACAATGGTGGATGATGATGCGGAGAGCAGTATGTTTAACCACATTGAAAAAGTTGAGTTTTTATGGTTGTAAAAGATCCCTGGATGCACGCCGGCACTACCATCCATGTTTACTCCCGTAAACAAAGAGCACCCTGGCCTGTGATGCTATTGCGTCCTCTACTGCGCATGGGGGACACTTGCATTGTATGACTGCAGTTCACACAGGAGATCACATACAAGTCACATATACTTGGAAATATGAACGGCAACGCACACAAAAAATAAATAAATCAGATTTCGCAAAAAAATTGAGCATCCAGGCCTGCAGTGTGAACGTAGCCTAAGTCAACAATTTAATGCTACTTGGTTTTAATGTAATTTCCCATTGGGAACCTACTAGCACTAAGTTGCTAACTGGTTATCAAGATGCTTCCGACAAACTGGCTACAACCACTTTGCGAAATTTCCGCCACAATAATCCTGCCCCCGTTGCTAATTAACCAATCAGATTCACTTTATTCACTCGTGTAAAGTCGAACACCACTCGGGAGAATTCGGAAATGCAACGGTTGGAACAGCCGCTTCTCTGCGACTTAAACATGGTATAAACTTGCCAACATTTTGGGTTGAAGAGATCATTTGTTTTTGTTCCATTTACAATAATTGTTCAGTGCAACTGAATCAGCGTGTAGTCTGCTGTTTTCTTACAGGTCTGTTACTAATTTCTGTTCATCAGAAAGCCATAACTAGCTACAGCTGTGCAGAACGACTAAAGTCGATGTATTTCTTGTCCAACAATTTTTTTTTTTAGCAATTTCTATTTCTAATTTGTTCCTGATGAAACCTGTTTCCTTTCCTTCCATCCCCTCACAATGAAAATAGTTACTTCATGTCTTTATTTCCCTTTTTATTGATAGCTGAAAATGTGATTCCAGGCTTATTATCCCGTGTGGAAACGTTTACTTCCATGGCCAAAGTTTGCTGTGAAATCCAAGCTCTTCTGTGTGTATCTGTATTCTAAATGGTTCGGATGCTTAGAATCCTTTAGTGTTTGTAAAGATACAACGAGCCCTACACCAAAACCAAGTTTTTTATTAAGACGTGGCAATTATGATCAGGTTTCTGTCCATCATCAGCAGAATGGGCGCTCTCTTTACAGCAGACAGATGGGATTTCTCTCTGCAGGCTGGACAGGTGTGTGCGTGGGTCTGTGTCTCAGTTTTGAACAAGGGAACCAGAGAGGATGATGTCATCTTTAACCGTTGTGAGCCTGTTTTAGTGTGGCGGGACCACAAGGAGGGGGGGGTGGCATTCTGAGGTCACCTTTTTAACACGCAAAGGAATGGCTCAGCCACATTTTTAATAATTGAAGCTCCATCTTATGGATGATTGGTTCTGCAACACACCAAAGCTTTCCACACATGTAGACATACTCACACTGGGCCCCTCTGGACATTACAGGGTTGCAAATGTTTTTTTGTTTTTTTTACTTTGGAGACTAATGAAACCTAACCTCAGGAAGGCAAAAATGGCCTTTCTTTATTAGTGTCTGTCATGATGTAATCTGCATCATAGCAGCTGCTTCACTAATCTGTCAGTGTGTGTTAATATGTGACGTGAGAGAAAGTGGATCACATACGACGCTCCTCATGTGGTCTTAACCCTGAAAACTCCCCAAGAGTTTGTGAGATTTGGAGAAAAATAGTCGACACTCTGAGCGAAAAGCTGAAACTTTTTCTTCTGTTTGCTGTAAAGTTATTGAGCTGGTTTGTCTGGACAGAGAAACTGAAATATAAATATATACGTATATTTAGGTGTTAACTAATAGTAGAACCAAACACATTCACTTTATTCACTCGTGTAAAGTCGTGCACCACTCCGGAGAATTCGGAAATGCAACGGTTGTAGCAGCCGCTTCCCTACAACTTTAAAGATTCATCTTTATAAGGAATTCAAAATCCTCAATTTTTCTGATAGAAATCAGACATTAAGGATCATTAATCCTATTTTCAGATGGAAGTTTAAAGCAAAGAGTTACAGATAATTAGAAGAAATATGACATAAATCAATGCCTTGTGGCAAAGATACAAGTGTTTGAAATCATAAACGGTATCTTTGTTTCTGTTGGGAGATCTTTGGGTGTACGGAGTGAATTTTGTTCCATTGTTTTGCAGGCTACAAACTATTTTTTGTAAATGGAAATTTGAAAGAAATGCAATCTATTCAATTTAAAACGTCTAAATCAAAAATGTTTTAAGAGTAACACTGCTGATTTCTAAGATGTACATTTCCAAAGTTCTCTTTTTCAGATTGATTTTTACTGATTCATATTCTATTCACGAAATCGTATTGAAGAGAATTTGATCTGTAAAATGCGATTTGTAAAACTCAATCTAAAAAATGACAAAATTGGAAAAAAATAGAATTTTAAAGTGTAAAACCTGTGAAAAACTAAAATTAAGGTAGAAAATGTTCATTTGAAACAAGAAAATATAAAATAAATGTAACCTAGAAATTAATTTAAGAAAAATTGCTTAATTAAAAAAAAAGGTTTTCAAAGTAACTTTTGCCGTTTTCTCAGATTTTACTTCCTCCAATCATTTTATTTTTGTCAAATTTTTTGTTTAACTTCTTCAGATTTTTTTTTTGTTTTTGTTTTGTGTTTTATAAATGGCGTTCTTTTCAAACAACATTTTACGGATCACATTTTCATCACTTCCTGGGGGTTGTTTCTCTTGGTTTCTATTGGTCTGGGTAGGGCTTTATTTCAACTAAGATCTCTAATGTCCTTTAGACACATCATGCTGAAGAACACAAAGACAGATTCCTAATTTTTCAGCCTAGGGTAGTTTTATCAGATTTAGATAGTAGAGTTTTAATGCTTTTTATTGGAATATTATGGGTTCTTTAAAGATTGTGATTGAGGCTTCTTCTTCATTGGTCATACATTGCTGATTAGTTTGACCTTTAGTCTCAGTTTAAATGTCTGATGGTTGCATTTTAGTATTTGATGACCTCCTTAATTCATAATAAACACAAGCAAGGTGTGTTTAAAAAAAAAAAAAGCATTAATTTGACAGAAATTTCTCCCTCATGTTGTCTTGTCTGTGACTCGGATTTGTTAATCTGTTTTATAAAGTTCTATGCTGTCCTCACATGAATAATGATAGTTGGATGTTTAGAATAGATCTTTTTCTTTCCATCTGTGTTGGTTATGTTATTTTTTTAAGCAACATGTCTTCCTGCCTGCTGCTAAAGTTCCCAGAGTTTAGCACCAGCTCAAATGTGTTCTCCTGTCACTCTGGCAGTTTGTCCCCCTCAGCCTGCCTTGACCTTTTTCGCTAACCCCGCCCTCACATACATCTACACATGCTCTCACACGTCTCCAGTGGCTTAACCCAAATGGTTTAATCTCTCAGCACTCAGGCTGCGGGCCGCAACGGCTGCTCTAGGAGCCGGAGGGCCGGAGGTTCATGTGTCCGAGCCCCCCTTTTCTCTCAAAGAAAGCTGATCATGTGACAGTATAGAGGTATATGAAATGACACGGTCGCACAAACGTGATGCAGACATATTTCCCCTCTTTTTTTCTGGTTGTGTTGACATTTGATCACACCTCACTGCACTGGAAAAACGATCTAGAAACAAGTAAAAATGTCTTACCCTTGATTTGAATAGGAAAATGAGATAGTTTCCCAATGGAATGAGTATTTTTACTCTTTAAATAAGATAATTCGGCAATATGCACTAGAAATAAGACAATCCAATTGTGTTTTTTTTTATTTTAAATGTAAATTGTCTTGTTCCATTTGCAAAATGTCTCTTATATCTCCTCAATTCAAGAACAAATGCACTTATTTTAAGAAAAAATCCTTCTCTAGATTTCAATTTTTTCCAGTCTGGTTAGGCTGTACTGTCTGTCGACCGCTTCTGTCTCTAAATGCATGTTTACTACCTATATTTATCAATGATTTTAAACTTACTATTCATTTTTCTTTTTTTTTAGATTAAGTGATAACGTTGCTTTTAACTAAACTTAATTTTTTGGTTTCCTTCTTAGACAGTTTAGTGGAAGATAAAGAGGCATTCACTTTTTGCCGCACTAGGGGTCGTTAACACTAGACAAGCATGCTGTGTTTTACTGGACTATGTTTTGCGCTCTTTTGCTGTATGCTTATTTTATTTTTATTTCTTTCCTTAAGTCCACACTGAAAACACTGTTTTAAGTCTCTTAAAGAATGCTGAATGTCTGGATGTTCGTCTGTGATTCCCCATGCCATTGTGGCAGAAAATAACTTGTTTTCAATGTGGTTTTTTAGGCTTTATGACCAAATGAATCACTCTGAAGGCTTTTTCAGCTCATAAAACTGTCATTCTGGAGGTTTTTTGACTCCTAGCATCAGTCTGCAAAGCTTGGAAATTCATTTCTGGCCGTTGTAAACAAGATGGGAAAAGAAAAAGTGTTTAAACGTCTCTTTGTTCCATCGATTGCTCTATAATGGAACCATTGAACTGAAAAATGGGCACACAGATTGATAAATTATGGGTTTATATTTTTCTCATCCCTGTTTCTGTTTGTTCTGCTTTTGTTTTCCAGGGTCGACATGTTAAGACTGGACAGCTGGCCGCCATCAAGGTCATGGACGTCACAGAAGTCAGTGAGATCTTCTAGTCTTTTATTGTGAAAAAGTCATTAAACGCAGTGTGCAGTGTATCCTGGTGATGATGGCTGAACAGAGGGACCTACGCTGCTCTGAAACTGTTTAAATATTATGGAAAACTGCAAGCTAGTGTTTAAATGATTTTTTTATAAGTGGTATTAACAGATTTGTTATATCTGATGTTTTCTAATGTTTGCATAGAAAAAGGCAGAACATTGTGATTTTAAATGATGCTGTTTCAGGTAAATGAGGCCAAGTTATGCCCATTTATATGGAGTGAATTCTTCTCCTTTATTTTTGCAAAGCAAAGAACAGGTATTCTAGATGGAAATTCTGTTAAAACAAATCCAGAAATTGAAACATTTAAAAAGGTTTTATTCATATAAGGTTTTGAGAGTAACTTGGCATTTTTAAAATTTTTTCCCCTTTTTTTCTATATATTTTTTCCAATGTTATTTTTTCAAAGATTTTATATTTTACGATTTAATTTTTTCAAAATTTTTTTAGATCTTACCTTGTATTTTATTTATTTTTTTTTTATATGTTCCAGCGGGCCAACCCCTACATCAGCATTTTCTGTGCTCTCATTTGTTAGTTAAAGAGGGTTAAGTTAGCTGCATTTTTTTTAGATCCGCTTTTGTTAAAGGTTTTTCTGGCTGATATTAAATGGAAATACTAAGACTTCCTAAACAAAGACGGAAGGATGGATTCTCCTACCTGCCACAGGCAAACACACACATATATTAGTCTGCATGGAGGTTAGAAACATTCTTATTGTGTGCGCATCAAGAGCGAGTGTTTTTATTGGGCTTCATATAAAGAGAATGTGATCAGATCCAATTTACAACAATACAGTTTGTAAAAATCCATCTGAAAACAGGAAATAAAGAATAATGATTTAGAAATAATAAATCTGCAAAGAATTCAAAATTAAACAATTAAAACATTAAAATATATATTTTTTTGAAAAATATATTGAAAATCTGAGAAAACAGCTGATTTATTTGTTTTTTTAGCTTTATTTCTTTATTACATTTGTTTTTTTTTATTTTAATCTACAAAATATGTTCTTCGCTCTCTATATAAGATATAATTCCTGTTTTATTTTATTCATAGATTCCTAATATGAGATTAAAACATTGCATCAGAACAATACAAACCCTTTTTTGGTACAGATTTCTTGGTTTATTGAAATGTACATGTAGTAGCGGTTTAAAGTTAGTATTAGAAAAAAAATCTTAATCAGACATTAAAGCCTCAAATATTCCAATTTACTAGATATGACTGTACAGCTTTGAAAATAACCTCATGGCAATGTGCATTTCAGGAAGTAGATGGGCCCTGAGTCACAGATACAAATCTGTTTTAGTGCAATATGTGTGAATAACCGCAGGACAAAGACTAAAAACTGAATAAAAACTGGCTGTAGCAGTTAAAAGGGAATGTCACAGGGAAATGGGTCCTGTACCAAAATGGCTGGAAGGTCAATTAAAACAAGCCAGCAAAGCAAAATAATGGAAACAGAGACAACGACCCTCATTGCTGGAGACTTTATTCTAAAGAAATCATATTTAGTATTTGGTCATTATTTTATTACCTTATATTTTGCCAAAAAGCGAGGAAGCTTGAAAACAATGAAACACCATCCTAACTGTCCTGTAGCTGTTCTGCAAGAAAGGACTGGTGACTTTTATAATGTGTAAATACTGAAGCAACAAAACAAGACATCTGGCAATAATTAAATAGGCAAGGGCTTTTAGGCAAATCCAAACCATATAATCTTGAGCAAAAGAAATATGGCTTTATGGTATCATGGTTATAATTTAAGCTCCTTTCCTGAAATCTCTAAATTAGAGAAAATAAGAAAAAATAAAATGCTTGCTAAATTGTGGGGTGATCTTCAGTACTCTCTATAGTCAGTTAACTCCAAACAGTCAGCCTCAGTAACATAGTGGTATTTTTGTCACTCAATGCTAAGGTAGCTGTTTATTTTAAAAAAAACATCTTTACCTTGATTTGATCAAATAGTGTGAGGTCATGCTCCTGCCAGATAAGCATATTAGCCATGCTCCTTCCTCTGGCTTGTCATTGTTATTATTGATGATGTGTGAGCCTGTGGTGAGGCTGAATGCATGTAGAAGCAGCATTGCCATATAGGTGACTGTAATGCGTTACGTAGAGTAGTACATTAGTGCGCACATCTCTAAGCATGATGACATTTGGACCAGTCCCCTTCTTAAGTTATCATCTCACCTGTAGAGCTAGCAACTATAATGATTAGTTGAAGCCAATGTAAAACTCTGATCTATGTCCCACTGTGTGGGCCGCGTTTAATAAAGTGTATTTGAGTAAAGCTCTACAAAACCTGTTAGAAGGAACTGGAGACATCCCTTTGTGAGCAGCTTGTCAAGGGAAACTTAAAAAGTGTTACTCGTAATAATACAGTTTAAAGTAATACTACTAAATATTAAGGAAATGCATGTAGATGCCTAATTTAGAAGAACAAAAAACATTTAGTAGTCAAGCGATACAAATAAGAAAACTTTTGTTTAATTTATTGTCAACCATTGGTAAAGTCTAGCCTGACGTAGTCCTACTCAATTCTAGTCAGAATATGAGTCTGATACTGCTCCATAGAGCTGTGATTATGGGGCGTGTTTTGAACGAACCAGGAAAAAAAATGCCTCTGCTCTCAATTGGATAGACCTACAACCAATAAGAGCAACGGAGTGCGTGACGTATGTTAAGCGAGGCATAGTTGTTGTCCACAAAAATCAAAGCGTGCAGTTTCACGCCTAGAATAAGAAGATGAGCCTTGATCGCGTTTCTCTGTTCCTCTTTTAAAATTAATTTGCTGTCGATATCTTCTAGAACAGACCTAATAGCAGAATCTACACACCTCAATATTAAGCGGCAGCCATTGTTGTTGTCACCCAAGCGCGCTTTGGTGACGTGGTTGATTACGTTACTGTTGATCATCTGTCCATCATCGTATAAAGCCCGCCCTGACAATTTGATTGGCCCGCCAGATATTGTGCTAGCATACTCGCGCTACTGTTGAGCAATGCCAGACCGAACTTCCCGACCTCAAACGTTGTGGGCGGGACTAAGTTCGGAATGGCACCCAGGCTAGGTAAACCCCCCCAGAAAAAATGTATATCTTTTTAAATATTTGCTTTAAATTCCCCTTAATAGAGAACTCATGGAATAATAGTCTAGAGAACATGTTTCTATGACAGCCCTGTTTTTGTTGTCCATTCAGCCTTCCTGTTATCAGATGAATATCTTGCTCTCTCTTGCAGCTGCAGTGAGCCACAGAAAAGGCCTCAACTCGTCATTTATGTGTGACTTCTTTTTCTAAATGGCTCACTGGTGCTTAAGAGCCTTTACTCAGTAACAGAAGCCACTCTGAAGAGTGTTTTTGTCAATGCTGCTTGGTTGTGCTCAACGAGCCAACACCACTATAAATAAAACACTGTATTATTGAGCTTCGAGCTGCTAGTCAGGGCTAATCAAGCTGGAAATGGAGGCTTAAGAGACTAAATCAGATTATTTCTGAGAAAATGTAGAATATTCAACTATAGCTGAGAACTGTTGAGTGTCTTTCCCTTTCTGTAGGAAGAACACCTCTTGCATTATGTGTTGAAGCTTGAATATTTGCTTCTTCTGCAGCTTTCCCTGCCTTTATTTCCATCCCTGGTGTTTTTCCTTTGACTGCAGCCTGACACACCTCCAGGGAGACAACTGCCTAAGCAGTTTGAGCCTTCAGCCGACACTTTAACATGCAGGAATATACTTTGCTTGAAGATGAAGATGAACATGTTATCTAAAAACGATAATGAAATCATAAAGGAGTATTTCCTAAAGTTTCCTGAAGTTTAGTTTTTTTATTTAGCTTTCCTCCCCAATGAAGTTATCCCAGCTGGAGCTGTCCACTTCATTTCTGCCTCGTCTTGTTGTTCCTGTCAGAAAGAGATTCACAGCTTTAACAAATCTTAAAGTCACATGCCAGATTTTTGAAGCCATGTTTAGAAATCCACTTGGTAAAATCCACTAGTAAAATGCTAAAAAAAAAAAATAAAACCCACCAGGACAATAGGAGGGAGAGTCTTCCCATGGCTGGCCGGCGTTCTGTCAAATTAGCATACCCCGTCAGATCAGCATACCCATAGTTAATATTCATGCGCAAGACGTCAGACGAGTATACTAGTTTGACACTCTAAGTGTCAGATAAGCATACCTCATTAGACTAGCATACCCAAACAAAAAGTTGTAGTTGAAGGTAAACACACAAACTTACCTGAAAAGCATACCTAAACTCAAGTAGGCTAGTTCAAATATGCGTGATATAATGAACAAAAAAGTTTTAGTCTGAGGTTAACAGAATTTAAAGCTTAACTGCTTAAACGCAGACAGCCTCCCTTTCTGTTTCATTACTTCACACTAGGAGGATTTTATAAAAGTTATAAATATTATGCAAAACTTAAAAATGCAGAATTTAAGGCAATTTGATCATGGATTGAACTATTCCGTTAATCCCAACATTGAACAAGATTATAATTACATTTTTATGGGCCAACTACAACCTTGCTAGTAGTAGGCATCTTGCTCACGTTTGATTAACTGAAATTAATCCTCCTTCTGCTCTGCCAAGCCGCTGTATCCGAGGAGACGTAATGTCCAAATCAATATCATCAATGATTGGCTGGGCAGGAGGTTTGTTTTGTACAGGACGCGTTTTGTACAGGACGTAGATGGCTGCAAGTGCAGCTAGAGCCTTCTCTAAACGCACTCTAAATATATCCATGGACTGTTAGGGCCATCCTAGATTTTTTTCATTACGACATTACAAGAATAAAGTCGTAAAAGTATGAGAATAAAGTCGTAAAATTACGAGAATCTTGTATTTTATGATAACTCTTACAACAATCACTGTCTTTCCTAAAATGAGGAATGTCGAGCATCATGTGAAGTTATACTTTGACTCTGGTTT